TTTATATTGAACATTATAACAAATATATACACATATATTAATATAAAAACATATCTATAATATTGAAATACATAAGAGTAGAGTTATGGAAGTTGAATAGCTTTTTCTTTAATTTATTATTTTGCCACATGTCATTTTTTTATACAAAGGATGTTGCCACATGTCAACAATTCCTCTAAATAGTTCTTTAGGGGTTTGCTTTATTATATTATATAGAAGATATAGATATAGATTATCTATATATAATAAATAAATAAATAGAATAGAAAACATAGCTTTTTCTGAAAATTTGATCAACTAATTTAAATTAGGACTTTTTGTTTGTGATTGAGCAAAATACTCATACAAGGCTAGATCACGACTACCCCCAAATCGCCTAATCGCCGACCATCGGAATATTTTCCTTAGATTTTTCCGCCAACCAGCCAAAATTGTGACGCCATCGCTCGGAATCTACTGCCGCCACCACGGAATAATCCCATTACCAACTGAATAAGTTGTATATTAAGGAAACTAGAGAACAATTAATTAGATTAAATAATTAATAAAATTATAAGTACAAAGGAAATAATTAGTCTTATTTAAGGAAAAGTAAGAGCCCGTTTAGTAATATCAACATTGGCTTAATCGGATGATTCTGCAAAAACTATGAAGTTTTGGCTGGATTGACTGGATAGCTAAAATAGCTAAAATAATCTTCTATAGTAACTTCAGTCAATACAACCAGAAAAGTAACTTCAATCTTACTTTCTATTATTATAATATTATTACATAGTTCAGAGAGCAAAATCAAAAGTTACCCGTTTGGTGAAAAAATTGTCTGATAAGTCTGATAAGTCGAAAAACATGGCCACCAAATGAGCTCTAAATATATAATCCTATTTTTGAAAGAAAATTATGTTTTAGGACCCATTTGGTAATACCCAAATCGTCTGCATTGGTTGATTTTGCTGAAATTTATGAGAGTTTAGTTAAAATTGATGGATTGACTAATTCTGTTGATTTACAGAAAAAAAAATATATTTAAAATATATTTTAGTATTTAAATACAAAAAATATACTTCGTATAAAAAACAACTAAAATGATTTTCCATAGTTACTTCACTCAATACAACTAGAAAAATAATTTCAACCTCACTTTTTCTTATTATTACACAACCCAACGCGCAATTTATGTTTTTGCGCGCTGAATTGTGTAAATAAGCAGAAAACGTAAGGTTAGAGTTACTTTTCTGCCTATATTGGCTGAAATTAGTGTAGATGTTTATTTTAGCTATTTTTACATATAATTTTTCTTTATTTTATTAATAAAATATATTTAAAAAATAATTTTTTCTTGAATCAGCAGAATCAGCCAATGCAACCACTTCAGCCAGAACTTCATAAATTTCAGCAGAATCAACCAAATCAGCCGATTTTCGTGCTATCAAACGGGCTCTAAGAACAAAATCTTTTGAAAACAAAGCTTGATTAAAGAGCTTTATTTCATTATATCAAGTAATTACCTTTAAGTATGAAGAATGTGAAGAATTGAATTGCCACCTCCGCTAAAATTGATTTCATTTTTGTCTAAACACTTAAATTATAGATGTAATTCTTGGGCATTGAATCTCAATGATTCCAAATTAAAGCATTTGAATTGTTTATTTTCTTTTCTCTTCCTTGAGCATATTTTTTTTCATTTTATTTCCTTAATCGTTTGAATATCTTTATTACAAGGTTGAGTCGTAAAGCTTTTTCATTGGCTCATTCCGAGCGATGGCGTCAACAATTTAAATTTGTCCTTATCTGAAAGTTTAAGTTATTATCTAACACCAATAATTTCCTTATTTAATGTTTACACATGAAAACTTACTGTTTTTTTATCTGAAATATGATGGAGTGAATCAAAATGACTTATTAAAAACTCAGTTCTTTCCCTCTTCACTTATGGATACATTACACATTAGAAGTACAACCTTGCTTTCTTCACATTTTAGGGCTATATTCGATTGGTTAACATCTACATTACTTCATGTATTGCTGCTATATAAGAAACAAAGGCAGAACAATGCCTATAAAAAGATTCAGATAAAGGACCAAATATAACGAGTTATTTCTAATCACTTCATCATCAGTCCTGTGTCACAAAGGCTCCACCTACAGTGGGTTAAAGGGTAGTCGGATGTACGCAGTCTTACCCCTATGAAAATCGCGTCCAAAATAGTATAGACATACTGCTGCTTCATAACAAAGAAACACAGACAGTTTAGTGAGCCTTTTTTCTTTATTCTATCATATTCTCAAGTAAAAAAAATAGTGAGCTTTTAGTTCCATTAGTCACAAATGATGGAATTCATATCTAATCACTTCTTGAAAACAAAATGTAGTCTGCTTTGTGATTTGGCATGAGCTCACATGCAAATGAAGAACTTTAAAACAAGTATTCATATATTCATATGAATATATATGAATAATTTTATGTGACTTATTTGCGAAGTGTCAGGTTTCATAATAAAAGTTCTGTTTTTACATACCCATTTTGAGCAAAAAAGATTACTTTTTAAAAACCTGAAAAACCAAACGGTTTTGCCTCACAAAATGGTTAGTTGTGTCATGTTCCTGTTTATTAGAGATATTGATTTAAGGGAAAACTGTCAATTTAGTCATCGTACTTTCATTTAAAAGTCAATTAAAATCTCGTATTTTTAAAAAGATCAATTAAATCATCAAACTTTGTAAAAACATTCAATTGAATCCATTTGCAGATTACTTGTCATGTCAACGGGTCACCTGTTGATGTGGCGCATATGTGATAGCCCAATCAACAATATTTTTGCTGACGTGGCACACATGTGGAAGTCCAGTCAGCCATGTGTGTACCACGTCAATGGGTGACTTGCGGGCATGACAAGTAACCTGCAAATGGACTCAATTGAACGTTTTTACAAAGTTCGGGATTTGATTGATCTTTTTAAAAGTATGATAACGTAATTGACTTTTTCATGAAAATATGAGGACCAAATTAAAATTCACAATTTTCCCTTGATCTAAAACATAAAATGTCTCCAAATATGACTAGCTAGCCGTTTTATTATATTCAGCATTTCAGCCCGTGTTTTTCATAACTTGAGTTCAACCTGGTCCACTCGGGATCTATAGATTTTGACTGATTTCTTAGCCTATTATTTCAACAACACATTAAAACAACCACTAGATCTAATTCTATTTAGGAAGAATCAGAGATGTGTTAAACTAGAATCATTGATTCTCATACAAGTTCAAGGCAAATAATTGACATTTGACGAGTTTTATAATCGGCACAAGGTCTGCTTCTAATGACAAGTAAATAAATGATTTGGTTTTGTAGCATCCGTACAAGTATTTACCTCCTCAAAATATTATTGATTGCTTCTAAATGAAACGGGGTTTATAGGCACTATTATGTGTTTCTAAATATGACACTTCGATTGGAAAAATGCTCTTTTGCTTAGACCTAATTTAAGAAGAGAAAACTACATGATGAATTTTTTTCAATGGTTATTGATATAGATTACTTATATAATAGCGTTGGTTAGAAACGGTTAAAACACTATTCAGTAGTAGTTAGTCTGTTAATATCTACCTCAGCTATAAATATAAGCCGATAGATATAGTTTGTACATATTTTGCCTATTCAATGAACTTCTCTTTTATGATCTTCATGAAACTCTGCTTTCTTCTCTATTCTTAGATTGCATTACAGACTCTCAATTTACTCATTCGCCACACCTTGAGAGCTAAATCATGTGATCTGAAATAGTCATCACGCACATGGAGAAGGGTGAACACAAAGGACCAACATGAAATTGAGAAAAGAATTACCATACAAATGAACAAAACCACTAATAGGATAGTTATTTTCGATGTTTATGCAAACAACAAGCATCAATATAGACTATCTATGTTCCACTAACATTGGAACATGAGGATGTGACGCACTTACTAGGAAAAGTGAGTTTATGTGGTTGATATTGAATTAATCAATAAAACAAAATAAAGTAAGAATGTTTTAGAACCACGTAAATTTTATCAAATTTGATATGAAAGAATCATAGTGGGGTGAGCCAAAAAGGAAATATGGGATAATTTTAACAGGACGGAGAGAGTACATTCTATAGGCAGCTTCTCTTGCTCGGAGGAAAGACTACACATTCGAGATTTGCGATTCCATTAAGTATAACAGAGGACTCGGCATGCAATATAAATGTGTTGTACAAAGAGGTCTTTATCACCGATTAGTTTAAATTTTATTAAATGTGATGACAATGGTAGATCGACAAACTCTACACCAAATGTGGTGTACAAAGATGCCTTTACCAATTTTATCTTAAATAAAAATGAGAATATTTTAATTTAAATTGACAGGCTAATGCTATTATCAAATAATTGTCAAATATTATCAAATTTAATGTCATTACAAAAAAATAATTAAAATTACTATCAAATAAAGTAAATAAATTTTTATGTCGTGCAACGCACGAGTGAAAAACTGGTATATATTTAAAAGAAACCAAGAAGAAAGATATTCTAACAATCGAGTGGTACAAATAGGGAAGTTAGCTAGAGAGGAAGCAATTTAATTAAGTTTGATTGTCTACTCTAGACTTTTCCATCATTTTCAATGAAGCTAAAGACTCATTATTTTTTGGCTTAAGAATATGATGGAATAAAACAGACTTACTAATTAAATTGCATGTGCTTCTTTGTTACGAAGCATCAGTCAGCCCATGATTTTCAACACGATTTTCATCATAATTCCGGCCTTCGGAATGCTTTAATATACTACGTGGTACGATAATACGGGGGAGCCTTTGGGGCATTGGGTTAATGTTGGGGTTGGTGTAGTGTCTACTCTAGACTATACTCGAGTGCATACTTGAATAAAAACAGATATACCTCAATACCTCATATTTTCTAACACATTCCCATATTCTTTAAGCTCTTACTTATAAATACCAATTTATAGTGCATATATTATTAAGTAATCCATTTCTTTTCACTTCACTAGCCAATATATATTGTTTCAATATTTTATTTCTTGCTGCTTAGCTGCAAATTGAACTCCTGGCTTTCACTAGCTAGCTAGCGTAGGTATTCTGATGGAAAACAAGGAGGCCAAGTATGATGATCATGGTCATCATGATCATCATCATCTAGGGATGATCTTCATTATGATTGTGATAATGATGGTCGTGAATAATGGAGTGGGAGTGGATGGTCGCCTGAGAATGGATTACTATATGATGGATTGCCCCTTGGCTGATTTCATTGTTAAAAACATTGTGAATAAACATTTGGAGAACGACCCTACCCTTGCTGCTTCTCTTCTTAGGATGCACTTCCATGATTGTTTCATCCAGGTAAGGCCATGTCTTCTGGGGTTCCATCTTTGTAACAACTATAAATAAGAGTTAGTAGTATTGTCATATATATAGTGAGGTCACCGGCCTTATCCTTAAGTTATAATCACAATTCACAATATAGCAGTATGATTAATGGAGGATGACATACAATATTTTACTCCTATTAATTTAGAATTGAATAAAAGAAAATACTACACAGTACCTTTATTTGTGAAACTCGATTAACTCGTTTTTCCTCATATTTAGGTAAATTCTTTAAAAAAAAAACATAAGAATGTACTCACTTTGTCCCGAAACAAATGCTCCAGTACCCTTTTTAGGATATCCCAAAATAATTGTCTTGTTTTCTTTTTATAAAAATACAATGTCATGTCATGTTATTTTGTTCAAACCACAATCACATCTATTATCTTTCGACCACTTTATCAATGTGCGCTGAAGCAAACAAAACAATTAATTTAGTAAGGAGGTAGTAACATATACTCCGTATATGGTGTGCATGCATACATGTATTCGACCAAGCTTCAAACGAAGTGCTATATTTAGTGGAACGTAACTAAAAAAACACTCCCTCCATCATACAAATTTGGTTAAATTTGATTGAATAAGGAGACAATAATATTTTTTTTAGGGAAAGGAGACAATAATATAAACTATGTCATTCCGATTTTCTCAAAAGACAAAATTAATACTAGTATTTAATTTGAGACCAGATGTTTCACCTTAATAATATAAAACGTAAATCTTGTATCATAGTTTAATGTTAATATTTTACTGATGAGGGAAATAGTTGAGCAATTAGTAATAAATCTATCACTTTTATCTATCACTTAATTGTAAATAAAGGAAATTAAAGTTGCAAAGGTTTTGAACACCCAAATAAGAAAAATGGAACCAAATAAAAGAATACCCAAGTAAAAAAATGACTAAAATGTTTTGTATTGATTGATGAATGTAGGGGTGCGATGCATCTGTATTGATAGATTCAAGTCAGAAGAATAAGGCAGAAAAGGACTCGCCGGCCAACTTGAGCTTAAGAGGGTATGAAGTTATTGATGAGGCCAAGGAAGAGCTTGAGAAGCAATGCCCCGGAGTTGTTTCTTGTGCTGATATTGTTGCTATGGCTGCCCGAGATGCCGTCTTCTTTGTATGTACTATGTACTCTTTGTCTTTATGACGTTTAAATTAGGATAGGATAGAACAAGTCTTTTACTTGGACGATTATCAATCCCAGACCAGCCTTAAATAGATCAGACTAGTCGACAAGACAACACTAGACGAGACATCCATAGTTATAAAATACACAGACCTGACCAGCAAATTGCAATCCGGCCAAGTATAAACCTCCTAGGCGGACTCTATTAACCATACATTTAAATTTGATCAATTGATTTTCGGAGAATTTCCGTACCAGAAATAAAAACAATGAGTAATTCAAAATTATTGTAATATTGTGTTGTCATTAAATTATACTTCTACATTTTGGCATGACCATTGACTAAGCATTAGTATAGCAGTAGTAATGTCATAACTGACGGTATTTTTTAAGGATAGACACTAATTTGTAATGTATAGTCCTACATACTTCATAGTTCATACTCCCTCCGTATCTAATTAATTGACTCGTTTGCTTTTTACTTATTTTAAGATAATTACTATAGATTATATGAAAAGTAAAAGTTTTTTGGTACTGTAGTAGTAATGTAGCGGTACTGTAACTCCTTTTTGAGTGAGTTTCTTTTCAAAAAGGGAATGGAACAATTAATTTAATACGTCCCAAAACGGAAAGTGAGACAACTAAATAGAAATGGTAGTACTTCATTTGACTAGGCTGGAGGTCCAGTTTATGAAATACCCAAAGGCAGAAAAGATGGAAAAAGGTCAAGAATAGAAGACACTAGAAATCTACCATCTCCCACTCTCAACAGCTCTCAGCTTATCAGCATGCTTAGGCAGCGTGGCTTCACGGTTCAAGAAATGGTAGCCTTGTCGGGTACCAAAATCCTACGGAATAATAGTAATGGTTTTTACATTCTTTTTCAATTGTCTGCCACCACCAAGGTTATCCACTAGTGCAGTCCGGAAAAAATCTCAGTCAAAGTTTGTTGAGTTGCTTACCGGCCGGCCACTAAGAAGTGCCGGAATGGAGTTTAACTTTTAAGGAGTGGTTGCTAAAAAAAAGTGGTTTTCAGGTTTTGAGTTAAAAGAAATTGAAATGAATGTTTTCAAGTGATAATTTCTATGTAAATTAAGTAATTAAAAACTGAAATCTGAAAGCATGAGGAAGGATGCTTTAAGCTGCTATTCTCTTTTGGGATTTTGCCTTGAATATTACAAATAAGTGGATATTTGACAAAAAAAGTGACCTTTTATTTAATTTTCCAAAAATGTGACTGAAAACTAACAGTACCGCTACAGTAATGGCGCTACAATACTTGTGCTACAGTGACGATTTTACAGTGACATCACTACAGTGACAATTGTACAGTGACCGGGGTTTGTATCAAACTGTGACACTGTGACCGGGGTGGGCTGTAAACACTGTAGAATGGAAAAAAATATTTATTTTATCAAACACCACCAACTTTTACTTTTTCAGAAGCATATTTTATCAAACATTAGCAATTTTATCTATTAAATACTTTATCCAAAATCACTTTTAAAAAAAACTATTTTTTTGTAGTAGAAGCAATCACAGACACTCTCTTAGTCTTGCTCTAGAATCACTTTGTTATAAGGTGTCTTCCTCAACTTCTAAAATATTGCTTTAAGAGCATTTGGAAAATTAATTTATTTATATTTTCAGACAAACACTTCAATATCTGCTTCTATATTTAATCCAAACACCCCTTATCAGAAATATTCATTAACGGGGTGGCAGGGTTACACACTTGTACTGTTATACATCAACTATAATATATTAACATCATCATACTAGTAATATTTAACAAATGTGAATCAAGGGTCATACATCTACTATAATATCATCATATAGAGCCCGTTTGGTAGCACCAAAATCGGCTGTTTTGGCTGATTCTGCTGAAATTTATGATATTCTGGCTGGAGCGGCTGTTTTGGCTGATTCTGCTGATTTAAGAAAAAAATATTTTAAAAATATATTTTATTAATAAATTAAAGAAAAAATTATATGTAAAAATAGCTAAAATGGTCCTCTACAGTAACTTCAGCCAATACAGCCAGAAAAGTAACTCCAACCTTACTTTTTCGGCTTATTACACAATTCAGCGCGCGAAAGTAAAAGTTACGTGTTTGGTGAAAAAGCTGGCTGATAAGTCTGATAAGCCGAAAACAGAGTTCTCCAAACGGGCTCATAATATTTAACAAATGTGAATCAATTTTTGAATATTATATTCTCAAACCAACAAAAGATGAGGAAAAAGTTATCTTCATCACATCTTTTTAATTTCAATTTATAGTATGTGTAGTTTCCATTGCCTAGAAACGAGTATCAGATAGGGTGGATTCGGGCCGGGTCCAGGTCGGGCCTAGGCCTGGGCGGGCCGGCAGTTCAGAATTGGTGGACCCGGGACCGTCCCAGGTAGCCACCGGGTCCGGGCCGGGCCGGGCATCCGATTTGGTTTTTTTTTTTTTTTTTGCTTTCCTACCCCCCCCCCCACACCCCCCAAACCCCTCCTAACTATCAAGCCCAACCCGGGTGGAACCCCAAAAAATGAAAAAAAAAATCAATTTGGCCCGGATCTGGGCCCGACCCGGCCGGGCCGGTTCGCCAAATGTAAGACCCGAGCCCGGACCCGAGAACCGGGCCGGTCCGGTCCACGGGCCGGGTGGCCCGACCCGAATCCACCCCTAGTATCAGACGCATAATTATATACTAGTACTTGCATGTATGTATCTATATACTCTGTGCTACGTATATAGTTTGGATAAATTAAAAGAAGTTCTTAATGTTGGAATGTTTGAATTGCACTCATATTTATCTATACCGCACTTTTATAGTGAACTTTTTGAAGAAGAAATGCGTCAATGCATTGTAAAAAAGTGATGTTTTCTACGAACATAAAAATGTAGTATAGCTTTGTAAAAGTAAAAATCTTCGTATTTCAAACATTGAACATTTTTTATTTAAATTGCACATTTGCACCTAATATAGAGAGGAGAGAGAGTAATGTTCATATAATGCCAGGCTGATTGGGAATTCCATCAAGCCGAATTCATTTTTAATGGAAAAGGGAATTTGTAATCCAATTTCTTTTATTCAGCGTTACCAACTTATGTAGCACAGAAACTCTTAGGAAATTGTATCTCTTCATTTCGAAATTTCTACACAAACTCTTTAAAAACTCTCCAAACAAACATTTTTAACAGAAATTGTCGTTTTTTGTTTCTCATTTCCCCCATTATTTTCGGGTTTCTGTGCAACATACTTACAAACTACTCCTAAGTGCACTTAAGGGCCACAACACTCGCAGCAAAATCACAAATCCCACATCATGTGCAGGCGCCCATAGCTTGGGAGCAGCGAGGTGCGCATCATTCAAGCAGCGGTTGAGCAGCTTAGACCGGACGCATGCTGTGGACCCCACTATCGACGGCAGGTTTGCGGAGACCCTGTCTCGAACATGCAGTGCCGGAGACAGTGCCGAGCAACCCTTCGATTCAACGAGGAACACATTCGACAACGACTATTTCAATGCACTGCGGGGAAAGAGAGGCGTCCTCTTCTCCGACCAGACATTGTTCGCCGATCCCGCTACTCGGAGCATTGTCAACAGCTATGCTATGAACCAGGCAATGTTCTTCTTCCATTTCCAACAAGCCATGGTGAAGATGGGAAGGCTCAATGTTAAAGAAGGACCTCAAGGTGAAGTCCGGCAGAATTGTCGGGTGGTTAACAATTGATCTTCTCAACCAAATTAGTGTCTAATATAAATGGGGAAAGAGTTAATAAGGTAATGTTTGGCTTTCCTAAATGGGGAAGGCTTTCATATTCTACTAGTGTAAAGCCCGGGGCAATGCCCCGGTAGCACGCCAATTCGATTAGAGTTAAAATAAAAAAATACGGGGTACTTATAAATATTATTGTGAACTATTCATATAATCCAAAGTTGAATATAATGTTTTATATTATGAACTAACCACAATCAATTACAAATTTGTATCTCATAAATGACTATTAAATTATCCATCATCATTCGTTATATATTTATTCTTTAGTCCATATCAAGGTTTTAAATAGAGTCATGATTGGAGTTGTGATTACTCGGGTTAGGGCTATTGCAGTAATTGCGATCATTGTGGTTGGGACTACTGTAGCAGTTGCGTGTGTATTGCAGTCGATATGTTGTGAATTAATTTTAGATTCAAACGAAATAAGAAGAAAAAAAGTAGTGTTAGGATTCATTGAATTACAAAAGTTGTGTACGATGGCTTCAATGTTGAGATTTTCCGTTTACCAAATGACTTTTTCTTGGATTGAAATTCTAAAAATATCTCTCTATGACCAAAATAAAGAACACCTGCTATTGAAAATAATTAAGGGAGAGTATAATAATAATTTAAATTTAAAAACGTTGTACGTGCTTAAAGAATTAAAACTAAAAATTAAATTTGAACGTACTAAATATTTAATACCTAAAATGAAAGAGAAAATTAAATTTATTATATGAACAATGAATGATAATAATATTATGTAAACGCGCTCGTAAAAGTAGCTTGTAAAAAATTAGGATGTTTTTAATTGGATTTGAATTTTGTGGTCTGATCTGGTCTGATTTGAACTGGTCTGATAAATGTCTGGCCTCTGTGTATTTTACAACTGTCAAGTATGATCTTGTCTGGTCTGGTGTGATTTGGTCTGATCTGATATGATCTGGAGTAGGATTGAAAATAGCCCAAGTAAACACATCTCATTGAGTGATCATTCTTGCGCTTAAAGATCAACTCTATTTTTATTTAAGATCTCTTTAATATAAAATATTGCACCATGGAAGACATGCCAAAAATCATCATTCAAGATCTAGTTTTTGTATATTGTGATTCATATATTAGTTTTTACTATTTATAGGATTGATTATATCATGAAGGATGAAAGAAATAAATGTGTTCCCATATATTAGAACTCCTGTGTATTAGAATCCTGTTGGAATTTTAAGGTTGGAATCCTAATAAATTTTTAAATTCAACAGATATTGATATAGGAGTACTTTGAATTTTTGTAAAGAAAATTTTGTGGTCTTATTATATAATAATCTAGTCAGATCAATATTCTTTTTGCACTCTTCTACTTTTCTTTTACGATTGTCTATACATGGATAATACCATTGTTCTAAAAATCGGCCTAGGCGGACCGATTAATCGGCCTAGGCGGCCCTAACCGTAGAGGCCGAATCGGTCTAGTCGGCCAAAAAATCGACCTAGTCGGCCAAAAAATCGGCCTAGCGAGTTTTAGAACAATGGATAATACTTATTATTATTATTATTATTATTATTATTATTATTATTATTATTATTATTATTATTATTATTATTATTATTATTATTATTATTATTATTACTATTATTACTATCATTATCATCATCATCATTATTATTATTATTCTTATTATTGTTATTGTTATTATCATTTTTGTTGTTATCATGATTATTATTATTATTATTATTATTATTATTATTATTATTATTATTATTATTATTATACAGAGCCTATTCGTATGTAATTAGTACAATGAAATCTCATTTGCTAACCTCTTGATAAGCATTGAAAAATCAATTTCCTATTCTTATGTACTTCATACTCCGTATTACGTAGCATTCAAAATAATGGTGAGTCGTTTTACCAAGAAAATAACTGTGAGTCTTTTCGGAAGTATTTATTACGGAGTAATACTTAAGTAGTGAAATTAATTTTTGTTAGCCAATAAGAGTTTGACACATGGCTTTACTATATAAAACAATAGATGTGTGTTTGTGAAGTGTTTATTTTGGAGATTATAGTACGAAGTTTAAAATTTGTAATGTCTGGGAAAAAAATCCAATGTATTGCAGAGTATTTGAATAAAGTATCCTTGAGTAAAGTAGCATTGAAGAGGTAATTAATGAAACCCAAGCCCCCCCCCCCCCCCGAGACACAGGGGGATCTATGTACAGGTTATGGTAGACTGAAGCCCAGGGCAACTTAGAAATTTTTCAATTTTTTTAGTGTAATTTTTTTCATTTTTCACAATTAGCCCACCCCGTTCATATTTGACCCTAGTATAATTCCTATTCAGCCCAGGGCATCTCAAATTCCTGGATCCGCACCCGAGGTATCACACATTCACACCCACCCGTCCCTGATTCCCGTAATCCCGTCCCCGATTAGCTATACATCCATGCAAACCCGATTAGCTATACATCCATGATCCATGCAAAGGTTGCCTTATAAGAAAAAGGGTTCAAGTTATTTGCTTAAAAGTTTCGCCCATAGCATATCCAGGCTATCCATAATTGCAGCAAAGTTTTTGCCAGTTTTAATCCCCAATTGTTGTGTCAATGACACTGTTGGGATTTCATTTTTATTTTTTTTTCTTCGACTATTGTGCGAAAGACATTTTCAATTCTCGAATTCAAATTCCCCACATTTAATCCTCTTGAGTGGTATCAAATCGACACTTTTAGTCCTTTAACTGTGATTTTGGCACAATAAGTGAAAGATTAAAAATGTCGGTGTGACCAATAGTGTCACTTTTATGAAATACAAAGGGCTAAATATAGAAAATTTCAAAGATAGGTATCAAAACTCCAAAAGTGTCATTCAGACGATAGTTGAAAGATCATAAAAGGATAAATTTAAAATTGAGTATCAACTATCAAGTGTCAGTGTCACCAATATAATATAATAATTGGAGGACTAAAAATGATAAAAACTCTTGTAGACACAAACCACAGCCAGTATAAGAAGTACATACATAAATCAAAGCACATGAAGTTTCAGGCAGAAAGCTATAAATCTTAATGCCCAAAGGAAGTCCTTCCCATCATTGCCATGAAATCCTCTACTGTAACCTCTCCATCACCTACAGCATTTCATAGCACTTCATATTAAGGTCCCGTCTTGGTTAGTAAATCTGCTGAATTTTTTGAAACGAAATGCTTTTGGTTTGAGGCAAATCAGTGAAAAGTCATTTATTCTGCTATTGAAGAGAATCAGCAAAAAATAGCCACCAAATTAAAGACTAATTAATTCCCCAATATAAACTAACACCAACTAGGTCTAACTTACCATCTCGATCTGCTCCCTCTATCATCACTTTTATCTCCGCATCACTGAGATTCTCACCCAAATCCCTGGATACTTTCTTAATGTCTGCAGCAGATATTTTCCCCTGCAGTTTGAAGATTTTTACTGACAAAAAGAAGAGAAACACACAGTGGGATGGGGGCAAGAGAAGAAAAGATAACTACGTTTTTATCTTTATCAATAATGCTGAATGCTTTCGCGAGTTCTTCTTTAGTATTTCTTTCTCCAAATTTGTTTGTCATCATATGCTCAAACTCTTCAAAATCAATTGCTCCGCTCCCATCCTTGTCAACTTCTGCAATCATGCTTTCGATTTCCTGGGATTACAAATTAGAAGTTAACCAGAGGCAAGTTGTCATTACCATATCTGTTTGGTAGAATGATCAGATTACAAGCCACGCAGGTAACATTTATGAGCAAGTTTGGACTGGTTGTTATCTAGTGTTTGCACTTTAAACAAATGTTGAAAACAAATGATTGTTTGCCAGTTAGGTAACTATAATGCTATCATTAAAGCTCGAGCTAAAACCTTATTGAGCTGGGCCTCAAACATCACGTTAAATTGTGTGATATTAATGCGAGTTGAGTAACAATTACACCCTAATGGCCTCATTGTTTCTTTAAAAGCCACAACAATGTCTCTTGAGTCTTGACCTTAAACACTGAAACAATACCTTGAAACCTACACTTTAAGGACTTGCATGAAGTATATGCACTGAACATATCAATACCTCTTCAGTTGCTTCAAAACCCAGAGCCCTGTAATGATACTATGTTCAGTGAAACAGCTGTCCTATATATATATATATATATATATATATATATATAGAATAAAGATCAAATGAGAACATTGCTTAACGTGAGAACGTGAGAACATCACATTTACCCTAGCGTGTTGCACAATGAAGCTTGTATATTGCACTTTTTCACATTTCAACAATATTTACCAAAATGTCACCGTGTTTATTTAATATAGGCTTAATCCGACCAATTTGAAAATGTGCAACAGAATAGCTCCAATGTGCACCCCATTGATTTAAATGTGAGTGTTCTCACGTTCTCACGTTAAGCATCGTTCTCACTGGAACCGCACCCTATATATATATATATATATATATATATATATATATATATATATATATATATATATATATATATATATATATATGTATATATGTATATATATATATATATATATATATGTATATATGTATATATAGGGGAGGGTTCTAGTGAGAACCCCCTTTAAGATGAGAACTCATTTTAAAATGAGAACTTTAAATCTCCATCATTAATTTTTATCATCAATGGTTAATAATACAATGTGTATTAATTGCATAAGAACCCCATTTGAATTTGGGGTAATTATGAATATGACCCCATGTGAATCATAATCAATGATTGGAATTTTCTGTTCATTGAGCACAATAAAAATTGTAAAAGAATAACTATAGAAACCTCATGGCAACATTCAGCTCCTTGGCATCGATTGTGCCTATACAACAGGTAAAACATAGTTAACCCAGAGTTTCAGGAGAGTTTGGCACATTAAGTTTCCAAGGATGTTAGAATACCAGAGTTGTCTGTATCAAAGAGCTCAAAGCATTCCCTTATTTCTTGCCTTTTCTGTTGTGTTAAACCATGGTGGGGGTGCCCTCTTGGCTTCTCTCTCCTAGAATGGTTGGCCTGCATCATATTGTTAAATTTGTTATTCTATGATTGGTACAAAAAGAAGGTGCATGATGACGATGAGAGGTAATTACAAATGGCACATGCATAAACTACAGCATATATTCAAACAGCAAGAATATAGATCACTCTACATCAACTAAATACTTTTTAAGGTAACTGCTCAAACTTCTAAAAGAGAGAAAACTAAAGCAGAAGATGATAAAAGACAAGGGTAACAGCCGAATATGCATACTAATGACACAAACAACATTGGATGAACTGAGTGAATAGAATATGGAAAGGAAATTAAGGAATAACATTCAATAACGTTCTGTTAAATACTCCTTCATGCCTACATCCCCACTTATTTTGTTTGACCATCCAGCGGCCAACTTATTTCTTTTTTTATTATTATCTGATATTTTGTATCAAATCTTTATCATGCTCAAATTCAGTTTTGTGGTTCAACAGAACAATAAGTGTAGTTTCTGAATATGTAATTTCTAATTATGATTAGTAATTTAAATATTATTATGATTAGGAGATATTTAATTTTAACTTCAGTCGAACCTGGTAATATAGGATAAATAAACTGCGATGGAGGTAGTATATGCTTATTCCACAGCTCGGTTCATTTTATAGTCATAAAAGTCTAACTGTGTGGAAGCAATTGGATTAGTTATCTCGAAGAGGATCATGGCATCAATTGCTACTGATCTATCTAAAACATGTCTTCATATTAATATCAAAACTATACTTGTAAAAAATTAAAAGTTTAAAACTAGGGAAAACTCTCAAAGAGGAGTAAAAACAATTTCAAATAAATTCCAAAATAGGAGTACTATATTTTTCACTAAATATGAGTAAATTACAGACACTATGAAATCAAACTACCATATTTTGACATTACCGGTCATTAATAAGCAGTACTGATGCCTGTAATTGCTCTTAATTAAGGGGATATAGTACTCTTATTTAAGGCAATTTTTTCTAAAGCTATTATTGAATACTGCAGTTTTGGTAGAGATATGAATTATGAAAAAGTACAACTAAACATGCATAGATGCAGACAATGCATTAACTAAGACTAATTTTAATGGTATGGCACTAATAACACATAGAGACACAATATAGACTATCAGGTCCAAAAAATATGGATACAAAAAAATGATAAATTCTGCTATATACTACTCCCTCCATTCTCTAATAGATGGCTCTATAGCCTTTGGCACAAGATTTAAGAAGAAATTAATAGGGGTAAGATAAAAGGTGTAGTGGGTTGGGTGTTAGGGAAAAAGTAGGAAAGAGAATGAAAAAGTAGGAAATAGAATAGGGGTATATAGGTATATTTATTGAAAAAACATTCTAAAAATGGAAAGGGAGAAATGTATTGGAGAACATCCCAAAATGGAAAGAGAGACACGTGTTAGAGAACGGAGGGAGTACTTGAGTACTTGTCCCAGAAAAAGGACATGCCCTTCCAAGGCTGAGAATAAGGTTCTACAGAAAAACATTGAGTATGTTCATCCATACATATTCATTAACACGTTGTTTCCTTCGTTTGAGTCTTTGAGATGATCCAATACATTTTCAGTTGTCACAAACTCATATGCAGTGGATAATACACATCAAATTGTGTAATAAGGATTTACTTGGACTGAAATTTGGTGGTCTGGTCTGTTTAAATTTGGTCAGTGAAATGTCTGGTCTCTATGTATTTTATTACTATGAAAGTTTGGTCCGGTCTGATCTGTTTAAGTCTGGTCTGATCTGTTTAAGTCTAATCTGGTTTGGGAATGAAAATAGTTCAATTAAAAACATCCCAATGATGGTACGCCCCTAAATCAAGACCAAAATCGCGAGGGAATGCTCAAGGTATTCTAGCCCTCAAATTCAATGGATGTAGAGCAATTACAGAGTACTGAAAATAAAGTTAGGTCTAACTCATATGTATTTGCAGTGTGATAAAGCCAGTAAATTGCTCCCAAAGGGTGATAAAAAAAAAAGAATTGCTTAGAGCCTATTTTGCACTAGCTAAGTTACATTCTCAAATAGTGAATTGCGGATAATCTAAAGCGTAAGTAAACAACAAATTACAAAAATATGCAGGAAAGAAATGAAATCATTTTACCGTCGTACGTTCTTCCAGATAGGTCTGCAATCAATTAAATTCAAAAAAAAAAACACATAAGACCATAATCAGAAGATAACCAATAAAACAAACGCTTGGTAAAACTAAACAGAAATTATTAGAACATAGCCAGACGAAATTTTACCATGGCTTTGTTCTGTGCACGAGGATCGACGGTGATATTTTCTGTCGGGCGTCAGGCTTGTTATGGAAATTGCGGCTTTACTAGGCTTTCTAAATTGCAGCTAATAGTCTCGTATGAAAGAGAGGAATGGCGGGCGGTTCTTCTGCTGATATCGGGATTTGATAAGCCCCCGATCCATAGATTTTACGAGAGCAGGGCACACTACGTACTAAACTTACTCTGTAATAAAATTTTCAAATTATACGGAGTAGTTAATTACATATTACCTCCGTCCCACTCAACTTTGCCAAGTTGATGTTAGGTGGGAAATTAAAATAGTAAAAATTGTGTGGTTGAGATTCGTGTAGAGAAGATAGAAATGAACAGAGCCACAAATTCATTGCTTTTAAGGGAAAGTGACAAAGTTTTTTGAGACAAACAAGAAGAGAAAGTTGGCAAAGTCCAGTGGGACGGAGGAAGTATTAAATAGTTCATTTCTGCAACTTTGGTAAATCAAACCTACGAGTTTTCATATTCTGAAAATGTTGTATATTAGTTTCATTATCAATACTCCTAAAAACATCTCTCTCGATATAGCACACCAAGCAATCAGTAAGATAATCATCTTTCATCTTATTACGAAGATCTGTCCTGATAATATTCATCGCAGAGAAGGCTCTTTCAACGATGGTTGTTACAACTGGTAATACTAAAGCCAACTCAATCAGTCGATATACCAAATGAAAAGAATTGTGAACTTTAAGTTCAACCATCTTTTTGCAAACTTCACCAATAGTCTGCACGGCAGAAAATAATTCATTTGTTCTCATTTCATATATCCACACACCTGGAGTTGCTCTTTCAGCTCCATTCGATCAACAGATGAAAAATCGTATGAATATAATTCCACAAGGTTCAGTAGATTTGACTCACAGAAATTGGAGAACTTATCTCTAGGATCAAGACATGTTAAACAAGTGAGTAATTATGTGTTTGACTCACTAAAACAGCTCTCCAAACTTCTTGAAATGTTTTGCTTTTGATTCTTGAAATTAAAAAAACGTGTTCTGGAATCATTGTGTGCACCATTTACAACTTTTACATGGTCTCTAAATGTTTCAAGACTTTTTTTCCAATTACGAAACCCGGTCCTCACAAATACATCATCTCCAAATCTCTTCCCTTCTACCCCATGGAATAGGTAACACGAAAAGCAAAATGTAGCATCTTTAGAAATACTATATTCCAACCATTCCCAATTTTTAAACCACTCTGCTCGAAAACATCTCATTTTTTCCCAAATAAAGTTCGTGGAAAATCATGAGACAACGGTTGACAAGCACCTTTACCGACATAAGCTCTCATCACGTCATCTCTTACTCGAGGCTCATGTTCAATGATTGGCTTTCATAATGCGGAATCGCTAATGATATCCCACTCACACGTACTATCTGTGTGGGCTCTTTTGTCTCCCCTAGTGTCATTAGACTCATCTCGGACAATGCTTACATTCGGAGCAACAACATTTGCATCGCTTGAGATAGACTGATTACAACGTTAGAAGAACTACCCCCTCGGGTTAATGACCTCTTAGTCCGAATTACAAAGTTATCCAAACTCATGTTTCTAATAAAAAAGACAAATACAATCAAGTCTAAAAATTAAACTAAAAACCTTACAAATTAGAACCCTAATCCTTAAGTAGAGCACATTCACAATCTCCAAAGTATCAAATTTCAAGTAAACAAACAATCCCCAAATTAGCAAATAACAATTTAGTATATAACCGTAACATTTTAGTATCTTGATTATCTAATACTAGTAACTTTTTGTACGAGTTGGGGCACTAATTTTACCTGAAGTAGTAGTAGTGAAATTTTTGGCCGGAAGCAGGGGCACCTATTTTACCCTAAATACTAGTAGTGAAATTCCTGGCCGGAAGCCGGGGCACTTGCCTCGGTAGGTCCCGCCCTAGTAACTCATTTGATGATCATTAAAATAGCTTTTGGACCGGGTCATGCTCTCATTAGTCCTTGGTCTAAATTTTACTCAGTACAATCTTGCAATATACAAACGGAAGTTGAACTTCACCCACTTTTCTCACCCATTTTATCGGGTTAAAAACGGATCTTTTTTTTTAACAAAAATGGTTTAACTTATGATAACTTATGAAAGTAGATTACAAAGTTACAACAAGACTTTTTCTACCGTCTGCTTTAGGACCAGACTTTGGATTAATTACCTTCGTAGAAGCAATATAATTCATAGATCTCGCTTTGGACTTACCTGAGTCAATGATTTGCAGACTAGACTTCCCGTCCCCTGGCTTAAGTTCTACAGACTGGAAAAACACAGCGCAACCAAACAAAGTACGAATCCAAAATGTGGAAAATAAAAAACAAAGTGCAAGCAAAATAAAAGTGTCTCTCACCTAACATAGTCCTCATCAATCTCAGTCACACTAGCGGGTCAGGGGCCTAGCACCTGCCCCTATCCCGGTTTTTGGGGAATCAAGAGTCATAACTTCCTTCACTTCGTCACCCTATGCATGTTCCTTCCAAGTGCGTCTTCTCTTTAACTTTCTCGTTCCTCCTTCCGCCTTAGCCTTTCCTGGATTGGTAGGAGTCACCATCCTACTCTGAGTGTTCTCCCCTATATCTTCTGGATTCTACTCCTGAATCGCCATATCCATGCGGGTCTTATGATAAGAGTTTGGGTCAGACTGATTTGGGTCCACATTAATGGAAGGAATTGCTTTTTGTTCAAATTTTTCCGAATTTCGATGTAATCAGATCTGTGAGAGATTACCATTAAATAAAATAGGGAAAACTGTCAAATAGATCTCTGTACTTTTACAAAAAAGTCAATCAAATCCTTGTACTTATATGTGAATCAATTAATGTTAATTACTTTTTTATTAATACTTCTTCAATTCATTTTAACTGTTATATATCCTTGATATGTTAACTTTAATTTGTATCATCAAGGTGATCGATTGATAAAGGTTGTCAATATTGTTTTGTTCAAATAATATAATTGTATTGACACTATATTGTGTTGCTAATCATGACAGTGTGAAATTAATAGAAAATGTCATGATGTTAAGAACAATGTCATTTTTTTTATTATTAATAGTGACAATGTGAAACATGTTTTTCAATAAAACAATGTCCTTTTATACTATTGTCATTGAATTCAACACTTATCATTTCTATAACATTGTCATTGTTATGACAATCAATGACATTGATATTGAAATTGTCATTAATACAACGTCATTTTTTGTAATATTGACATTGTCATTATCAATATTACAATGTCATATTTTTTTAGCATTGACATGCATTGTCATTTTCATGACATTGAGATAATTTTAAGACATTTTGACAGTTTCTAACATTGTAAATATTTACAATGATACAATATTGTTACATATATATCAATGCCATCATTGAAAACAATGACACTTCTTGACAATGTCACAATGTCATTTCTATAACATTGAAATTGGCATTGTCATTATTACAATGTCATTTCTATAGCATTGAAAATGACATTGTCATTATTACAATCTCATTTTTTAAATCATTGACATTGTCATTTTTATAATGTCATTTTTAAAAGCGTTGGTGTTGACATTGTCATTGTCATTACTTGGCATTCTTACATTTTTCCTTATATTTTAATACAATGTCCACAATGTGATTTTCTATAAAAGCAATAGTTATAACATTGGGATTTTTCATACCGATTTTTTTATTAGAATGTGGTTTTTTATAACATTGAAATATGATTATCACTATAATTATTACAATGTCATCACTATTTTTTAACATCCGACATTGTGTAACACTTTCCAGACATTATAATACACTTTAACAATTGTTTTTGTGATCATTGTGCCATTTTTCATTAATTTACTCACAAAAAGATGTCTGTTATGCCAATTGCTATTGCGGCCATTGCCGGCCAATACATATGAGCCTTTTACCTTGATTTGCAAAAAGTGTATGTTATTAACAGGCCCGGTCCTGACATTTTGGAGACCCGGGACGCATTACAAAAAGGGGCCCTCGAAACCTATGTTGTAAAAACCGACCGGTGAGCGACCCGGTCATGTGACTGGGTCACGGGTCAACCCGGACCCGGAGGGTCAACCCGGTCAAATCCGGAAAACCGGTCAACGATTATACGTCTATATAATAATAATAAACATATAATTATATACACTCTCATTATATATTTTTATTTGTATTGTACATTTATATTATAATTTGGCATGATTTTCATTCTTAAATAAATATATAAATGTATTACATAGTTTTTCTTTTTAGGGAATTGAAATTGCAATTTTATTGGTTTAAAAAATGCATTAAAATTAAAAAAGAAATTACTTTTTTTTTGGAAAAGACCGAAAACCGGGTTTTCCTGGGTTTTTCGGGTCTCTTGGGTCGGGTCTGGATCGGATTTTTTCGGGTCAGCCGGGTTTTTCCGGTTTTTGACCATTTTCGGGTTTTGAAGAAACCGAACCGGATTTTTGTCCGGGTCACCGGGTTCCGGGTCAACCCGGCCGGGTCAGGTCGGTTTTTTAAACATAGCTCGAAACCGGAACTATAAAGCTGAAAATAAATTTTATTATAAAAACAATATTCAATACATAAAGCAAGCACTCCTTAGATAAAAATTACTAAAAAACAATTTCTCCGAGTAATCATAAATGCAAAATCACCCATGATACTATGACAGTGTCAAATTCAATACTACTTCATGTAGAAGCAAACGCAACAAGGAATTCGTTTCAACACAACCTGCAATAGAAAAAATTGCTCCTAATTATTTAGAAACATTAGACCAGTATGTTTAATTTTGACATATTTGTAATCAAAGTTCATTAAAAAACAAAAAATACTAGTGCTAACTCATTGTTAACCTTAACTAAAATTAATAAATTAACAATCACATAATTCACAATTAATCAAAAGTAGAACCCAAGATCAATTTTACGGCAATTCCAATAGAACAATAAAATTTCACATTCGATTATGAAATAATCAACAAATCACCAATTTAATTCATCCCTTCAAATCTAAAATAAATCAACACTAGAGTTAAAAGTAACTAAGTAAATCACCTCCACAGCTCCACAATCACGAGTCTGCAAATCTGAAATTCATAATTCCTTTCACAGATTTCGTATGAAAATATCAAGATGGAAAATTAGAAGAAATAATCAACTAGTC